CTTTTGTTCTTTTTGAAGCAGGGTCTCCCTGTGGCCCCAGCTGTCCTGGAACTCATTATGTAGACCATGCTGGCCTTGAACTCACAGAGATCCGCCTGCCTCTACCTCCCAAGTGCTGGGACTACAGGCGTGTGCCACCACACCCAGCTTTATTTTTATTTTATGTGTGTTAGTGTATTGCCTGCATGTGTGTAAGTGCACCCGTGTTGTGCAGTGCCTGCAGAGGTCAGAAAAGGATGTCAGATCTCCTGGAACTGGAGTTATGGATGGTTGTTAGCTGCCATGTGGGTGTGGGAATTGAACCCGGGTCCTCTGCAAGAGCAGTCAAGCGGTCAGTGCTCGTAACCACTGACTCATCTCTCCAGCCCTGCCTTTTCTTCCTTTTTTTTTTTTTTTTTTTTTTGCTATAATCAAGATGCAGGAGATGAAGTCAAAGCACAGGCTTTCAGAAATGAGTTTTTCTATTTTTCTATGAATTTTCCAACTTTTCTTTGTGGAAACCTTTTTCCTTTTGCTCTTGGTTCAAGTTCTGGTCTCAAGTACACTGTGTCATGAGTGGCTGTGGCCATTTTTGAGAACAGATTCTGCACAGGTGAGAGAGGCGAGCCTTGCTCTTAAATTAAACTAGCCTGTAGGTTTGGGCTAGTCCATCTCTTTTTTGCTTCTTTGCTTACAGTTCCCCTTAGAACCTTACTGTGGCATTATTTCCTACTACTGGAGCCTTTTCGGATGCCACCTGTTTGGCAGGGTCCTGGAACTTACATTTCTACTTCACATAAGTGTCACAAAAGGAGGTAAGACTCAGGCTTGAGGCAGCTGATGATGGGACCCAGGAATGCTTAGCTTTGTCTTTCTCCCTCTTCCTGGGGTGGGGGTGTGCTTAAGGGTGTACACACCTGCAGAACTTAGAGTTGGATGCAGGAGAGCCATTCTAACTGAACATTTAGTGAGTGGGTGAAGTGGGGGAAGCAATGTGAAGAGCCACATGTGGGAATAGACCAGTTGTGACTACATACGGCTGCCATATTGGAAGTTACTCCTGTGAGCTGCCTGCTTTCTCATTTGGTGTGGTGGTGGTCTCAGCCTGCGGGTCCTTTATAAGCTGGGCTGGTTGATTCTGGGGAATGGCTTTTCACCGTGTCACCAGGCACTTGATACCATGTCCTTCAGCAGACAAGCTTGCCATTCCTTCACTTTCCATGCTGTCTTTCTTTTGGAAGTGATGGGCATCTTTTGATTGTACATAGAACATTGTAAATCCCTCATGTGCATCTGTTTATTATAAAATATCAGGTCACAGAGGAAGGTTTCTAGAGATTTTGAAGATTTGACACCCCACCCCTCTTTTTGAGGTGATGGAATCTCACTGTGTATCCCTAACTGGCCTGGACTCAGAATGTAGACTAGACTGGTGTAGAACTTAGAGAGATTTCCCCCATCCCCAACCCCCCTGTGCCTCCCCACTAGACAGTGATTTCCAATTTTAATTAAATAGTTGATTGTTTCCTTGCTGTATAAAGGTGAATTGAAGTAGTGAAAAGTAGCCAAGGTTGTTTTGAGTAGCCGGCAGTAAAACACTGTAGAATAGACATTTTACTTAAGGTATATGCTTACAGTCTCAACCCATTTTTGAATTAGTCTGGTCGCTTGTTCTTTATGGCTGTGTGTAATATTTTTGGATCGAAGAAGCTCAGATATTTTCTGAAAAGTTTGATAGGCTGTGCCATTTCAGTAAAGCACAGCAGTGCAAAGCTCATTTTGGGCAGGGATCGTGTCTTCTGCAGTTTTCAAAGTCCAAGGTTAGTTATATAATAGAGATTCAGTAAATTCTGTTAAGAGTGAGAGTGAAAAAAGGCATGCATTTATTAGTTTTTCATCTTATAACAATATTGTCACAGCTTTTGAGGAACATTTCTCAATGACTGAAATACACATTTAAACTTACAAAAGACTGTTTTAAATTTCAGCTGCTGCATTTTTTCTCACCTATGAATATGTGAAATATTTTTTGCACACCGATTCAGCTTCGTATTTCATGCCTGTGAAGCATATGCTGGCTGCCTCTGTGGGAGAAGTGGTAAGTAGTAAGGTGTGTGAAATCCTTCGGAAATGTGAATTGAACTTATGGTTGGTACAGATAGTATGTTTCAGTTTTAGAATTTAGACTTTTGTTTTTTGAGAGAGGGTTTCACTATGTAGCCCTTGCTGAGCTGGAACTCACTAAGTAGTCCAGGCTGGCCTAGAATTCACAGAGATCTGTCTGCCTCTGCTTCTGAGTGCTGGGATTAAAGACTTGCAATACTGTATCTGGCTGGAATTTAGACTTATTTTTAACTAATACATAAAATATAAAAATTGTACAAAGTTTTTGTAACAAGATTTTTTAAAATGCATACATTGTGAAATGTCATTTATGTTATTTATCTTGGTGCTGAGGATCAAACTTAAGGCTTTTCAGATGCTAGGCAAACACTACCTTTGTATTTCTTGATTGTACTGTGTGATGTTTACATCAGATTACACTTACTAATCTCAAAATATTTATAAAGCTTATTTAATTAAAAATAACACTTTATTTTTGAGTCAGGGTTTTATTTTGTAGGCCAGGCTGGCCTGGACTTTATGATCCTTCTGCCTCAGCCTCCTGAATGCTGATATCATAGGTATGCAACACCACACCAGGCTTTCACAGTTCTTTTGTGTATTTGTATATGTGTGGGATGTGATGTGTGTGCGTGTATGTGTAGGGACCCATGTGTGCAGTGGTCAGAAGAGGACATAGGGTGTCCTGCTCTATCTCTCTGCCTTATTCCTTTGAGACAGTGTCTCTCACCAAACCTGGAACTAGGCTGGTGGTCAGCATGCTCCAGCAGTCCTCCCGTTTCATCTTCAACAGAGCTGTGGTACAGGTGCATGCGTAGCTACACCCAGCTTTTTTCTTTTTTTTTGTCTTTTTGAAGCAGGGTCTCCCTGTAGCCCCAGCTATTCTGGAACTCACTATGTAGACCAGGCTGGCCTTGAACTCACAGAGATCTGCCTGCCTCTGCCTCCCAAGTGCTGGGACTACAGGCGTGCACCACCCAGCTTTTTAAAAGAATTATTTTAGTTTATGCATATGAGTGTTGGCTGCATGTATATAGGTGCACCATATGTGGGCAATCCCCTGGAGACCAGAAGAGGGTATCAGATCCCCTGGTACTGGAGTTACAGATGGTGGTTACCCGCTGTGTGGGTGCTGGGAACCAACCCAGGTCTACTGCAAGAGTAGCCAGTAGTCTTAACTACTGAGCCATCTCTCCAGCCCTGCATCCAGCTTTTTATGTTGATGCCAGGGATCTGAACTGAAGTCCTCATGTTTGTACAATAAGCTCTCTTACCTACTGAGCCATCGCCCCAGTCTCCACAATTCTTTCTAATTATGAAAATGGTGAAATCCCAGCAAATATAGAGAGGTGAAACATGACAGTTAAAATGTAGAGGATGTTGGGGCTAGAGAGATGGCTCAGCAGTTAACACTGGTTGTTCTTGCAGAAGACCCAGGTTCTAATCCCAGCACCCACTGGCAGCTAACAACTGTCTGCAACTCCAGTCCCAGGGGATCTGACGGCCTCTTCTGATCTCTGTGGGCATTGCATGACACAGGTGCACTTACCTACATGCAGGCAATACACGCATACACATAAAAATAATAAATAAAATTTAAAAAAATGTAGTGAATGTAAGAAAAAAAAATCCAGCTATGTATTATTTATAAGGGGCAGCCCTAAAATGTAATTACACTGATAGAATTAAGAGATGATATATCCATGTGTGAATGTTGGCTTGGTTTGTATTAGTGTAACTGGGTTGAAACTACTTTTCCAAGAATTGCTTTTACAGGATAGTTTCAGGTAAGTTAGCTTCAGAGAAATTTAGCATGGAGGTGTGGTTATGCTCAGAAGCACTGTGGCAGGCCATGCCCCCTGTCACCACCCTCTGGTGGCTCCCTGTGTTGGCCTCTGGCCCATACCTTCTCCAGCTCCCATCATCTCCTTCAGCTTCTCTAGATTCTGGTTCAAGTGTGTGGCTCTACTGAAGGAAACTAGGGTGAAGTCTGTGACTCTGAAGTGAAGGGCACTAGGGCCAAGCGTGTGACTCTGGGGTGAAGGAAACTAGGGTCAAGTGTGTGACTCTGAGGTGGAGGAAACTAGGGTCGTGTGTGACTCTGAGGTAGAGGAAACTAGTGCTGGATGAACACAGTGAAAGGCTGCAATCCTGCTAAAAAACCCCATGTTTGCTGTATCTGTTTGTGCTGGGTAGCTTTAGTGTCAACTTGACACACCTGGGTTGAGGGAGCCTCAGTTGGGGAATTGCCTCTATTGGATTAGCCTGTGGCCATGTCTGAGGGGGCATCTTCTTGATGAGTGATGTTGGAGGATCCAGCCCACTGTGGGTGGTGCCACACCTGGACAGGTGGGCCTGTGTTGCATAAGAAAGCAGGCTGAGCAGGGGCCGGGGAGCAAGCCAGTAAGCAGCATTCCTCCATGGCCTGTGCTCCATCCAGCTCCTGCTTCCAGGTTCCTGCCTTGAGTTCCGAATAAACCCTTTCCTCCCCAAGTTGGTACTGGTCAGAGTGTTTTGTCACAGCAATGGAGAAACAAACTAGGACACTGTTATTGGCCATTCCCCATTTCACTATTCCCCATCCCCTGCTTTTGTTTTTATGGATTTGCCTGTTTGGACATTTCATGCAAGTGGAATCCGGCAACATGTGTCTGTGACTGCTTTCGGTTACCAGTGTTTTATGGGTCAGTCATTGTCATAGCAGGTGTCACTACTTCATTTGGTTTTATTGGCAGACATCCATTGTACGAGTATGTTAATTTATACACTCATCTGTGGTGAATTTCTGAATTATTTCTACTCTGGCTGTTGTGAATAATGTTAATCTCCATGTGCATGTTTTTGTATGGATCTGTTATACTTTTCTTGGGTATATTAAGTAGAGGTAGAATTGCTGGTCACATGCTAACTTTATGTTTAACCTGTTGAGGAACTTCCCAGATTGCTTTGTTAAAGGGACCACTGTTTTAGGTTCCTAACCATACCAGTTAGGGCTGGTCAACATCTCACCAGCACTTGTCTGTCTTTAATTACAGCACTCTAGTCTAGTGGCTTCTCATTGGCATCTTATGGTGGTTTGATTTACATCTTCCTGGTGGTTAATGATTTACACCATCGTCTCTTATGCTTCTTCACTGTTTGTGTGTCTTTAGAGAACTTTAAGTCCTTTGCTTCTTTTAAAATGTTGTGTTCTTTTTATTTTGTGTGTATGAGTATTTTGCTTGTACCACATGTGTGCAAAGCCTGCAGAGGCCGGAAGAGGGCATTGGATCCCTTGGAACTGGAGTTACAAATAGTTGTTAGCTACCATGTGGGTGCTGGGAATCTAACCAGGTCTTCTGCAAGAGCAGCCAGTGCTCTTCACTGTTGTGCCATCTCTCCAGCCCCATTCTTTGCCTCTTTTTAAAATTCAGTGATCTTTTTGTTGTTGACTTATAGGAATTCTGTTTTTGCACAAGTTCCCTACTTCTGAGCCACGCCCCTACCTCTTTTTATTTTGCAATGCGGTCTCACTAAGTCATCCAGGCTGGCCTTGAGCTCACAGTGTGGCTCAGGTAGCCCTTGAACTTGATAGCCTGCTGTCTCAGCTTCCCAAGTTGTTAGAATCACGGGCCTGTACCAGTTGTAAGAGTTCTTTATATATTTGAGATGCACTTCTCCTCTCTTCTTTTCACTCTTACTGGTGTGTTCTGAAGCAGGGTTTTTTATCTTGAAGGTGCCCTTTTTATCTACAGTGTCTTCTATGCTTTTGGCATTTACCTAATTTGAGGTAAAAAAGATAGACACCTGTGTTTTCTTGTAAGCGTTTTTATAGTTTTAGCTTTTACCCTTATGTTTTTGATACATTTTGAGTTAAGTTTTGTGCATGGTATGAGCTTATGGTCTAACATTTTTAAAAGTTTATTATTTCTGTAATTATTATGCTGTGTGTGTGCTTGCGTGTGTGTGTGTGTGTGTGTGTGTGTGTGTGTGCGCGCGCGCGCGCGTGTATGCAGGTGGGTGTGTACCACCATTTGCACTTGGAGGTGGAGGTCTGAAGACAACTTTCAGGAGTCAGATCTCTCTTTACAGGGCGGGTCCCAGGATTGAATTTAGGCAGTCATGCTTGTGTGGCAAGCACGTTTACCTGAGAGTCATCTTACTGGTCCCCAGATTTATTCATTTGTATGTGACTATCTTGTTTTCCAATGCCTTTGCTGGAAAGGCTCTTGTTCTACATTGAGTGGCGGTGGCACTCTTGTCAACAGTAGTTGACCATAAATGTGAGAGTTTATTTCTGGATTCTTGAGTTCTGCCCCTCCTGTGTGTCTGTCCTTAGGCCAGTTCTCCAAGGTTTTGAGTGATATAGCCTTGTCGTAAGCATGGAAGTCATTGTGAGTTCTCCAGTGGTTTTATCAGTCCTAATCTGGCTGTTAGGGATCACTTGTAATTCCCCCCGCCCCCTGCAACTCAGTTTTCATCACATGAAGAACAAACCTGGTCTGTCATTGTCGTGGTGGTGGTGTCATAGTCCCCCCAACCCCTGCCCCCAGAACTGGAGTTGTATGTGTTTGCAGGATGCCTGGCTTGTTACTTGGGTGCTGAGATCTGAACTCTAGTTATGATTGTACAGCAAGTACTCTTAACCACTGAACCATAGTTCTAGCCAGCCCTGGATCTCTTGTATTTCTGTGGGAATTTTAGAATCAACTTGAATATTTTGCAAGAAAATAGAGAGACAGTACATTGGATTCTGTAAATTAACTTGGGGAGTTTTGCCATTTTAACAATATATTAATTTAAAATCAATCCACATTTAATTAAAAAAACCCCTTCCAACCTTTTATCCTAAGCCTAAATTAATTCTAGTAATTGCGTTTTGACCATTGAGCCTTATTACATGCAGCTAGTTTTGAGTATTTCAAAGGATAAAAAATGGCATGTGAAGGTTTAAGTGCATCCTCGGTTGTGAAGAATCTGTCTTAATGACAACTC